GATGCCCAAAGTCGGCTTACAACTCAATGACATAGAAATGAGAATCGGCAGGTGCAGAGTTTGTAGTGTGGGGGGATAGTTGTCACATGTAACCAATGGCTGTGTTTGTCAACACGTGTGCAGCAGTGATTACCTTGAAGTAAGAAGGGTATCAGAACTTCATGGGTTGGATCAACATTAATATAGCTACAACTGGACACATGAAGTAGTAAGAATTAGGCTCAGTTGTACAAGAGTTCACAGATTGTACAAATTGGTCATGTTATGATAGGAACTGGCAAGGGTAAAACAACTTCTTAAGTATTATACTGAGATACTAAGTTTGTTGATAAGATTTGGAGTATTTGTATTTAAACTATGATATTTTCTGTCATGGAAGTAAGCTTTTCCAACAAGAGCTTAGATCTCAGTTTACACAATAGAGTTGTTATGGCAAGCTGCTTTGTTTACCAGATCTTGCTGCTTGTTTGTAATAAATCCATACATGTGTGTGACATTCTTTACTATAATAGGAACTAGATAGTGGTGATCGCAGAATGTATGGACCAGTAGGTACTCTGATATTCACCGTGCATCCTTATTGTCACTTGTGGTGCTACATGTAAAAACGACATGATGTTATATTTACAGGGTAGACATTTGGGCAATACCGTGCGCTGCCCCATGCCCCTGTTCTACTACCATGAAACAAAACCTCCCAAGTATGGGGTAGCACACGGGCATAAGTTTAAAAGAATGTCGTAGAATACCCTATTATTAATATGTAATGAGGTTAAGTATGTACTCATTTCATCCCTAATTCTAAAAATTATAACAAGGTAAAAAAAAGTCAGCGAAATAGTAATGACTCAGGCTATATTTTGGCTGTAGCAAGAAGAAAATGAGCCTTAGTTGCGTAGACAACATGTACCTTAATTTCAAAAGAGTTACTAGTAGTTAGATTACGGAAATCTGTCTTTACTTTTCATTATTTATCAAACTATAATTCCTAATCGTTGTCCTGTGACATGTGTACGATAGACGTCAGTACACGGATTTGTATCATTCACCCATCTTATAGTGGTAAAACAATGATTTAAAAAAAATCTGGAGTACTTAGTGGTAATCTCTTTAACTGGTGCTATTTAAACGTCAATGTCCTACCTCCATCTTAGATACAGGTAAGGTCTCAGGTCATTCTCAAGGTATCTTCATCACTGATTTATGGACAGACCTTAAAAGTGTATAGGGAATTCTTGAGGACGCTATATTCATGACTTGTGGGTAGTCCCTAATGCTGTTATTGCTATTTGAAGACTCGTCAAGTCACATTCATTTGTTTACAAATCATGATAAACCTGATTATATTCTCTCTCATGCTTCTGTTATGGATTCAATGGGTAACTATATTGTGGTGTTCACAAATGTCGCCAAACATAAGACACATAGGAGTAACGGGAACCTGACATGACGCCCACGATTGATGCAAACATGTTCATACACACTATGAAGAAATTTAAACTGTAATTTCCAACACAAGAAATTGGACCAGACGTTAAGACTACAACTCCAGTCTTTGTCAAGGAATGAGCAATCCATCACTTTTATGACGTCACTCACGTTATGCAAATGACACACGTGACTCGGTGAGCAGTGGATCGTAAGTCTGTACCGCCCCCCGTCTTTGTTGAAGGAGGGTTGTAATGGTTGGATGTAGATGGCTTCTTTACTACCTAGTGCAAAGACTGGAGTTGTACAGTGAAAATTTTGGTAAGTCGATTTTTTTGTGTTGGAAATTACCGTTTAAATTTCCCTCTAATTACGTCTACCAAAAAAGTATGTGAACATGTTCGTACATGGAGTGGAAAAGGCAAAAACCCAGTCATCCTATTGTTGATTGTTACTCAAAACAGCCTTTTTTTGTAAACGTATAGCAGATCATGAGGTAAGAATGAAAGACAGTCTCACGTGTATATCATAAACATGGACGTTTGCATGTAAAACAGTATAGAGGTAATAAACTGTCTGCATACATCCCACAATGTCTGGTTGCAACTTTCTGTTCAGGTCTTCCCGATCACAGGGGTGCCAGAGAATACAGTGCAATTTTACGGAATACAGTGCAATTTTACTAGTATACAGTGCAATTCTACGGAATACACTGCAAGTTTATTACTTTACAGTGCAATCGTATTAGAATACAGTGCAATTTTACTAGTGACGTTGAATCACGTGACTTGGACCCTTCTTTCCCTTGAGTTTCAAGATGGCGGACGCCGCTGACTCACATTCACATTTCTGTCTTTTTCGAGCGAATTCGAAATGATCCCTGTGCAGTAACATGTCCTGTGTGTAGTATGTAGTATTTAACTAAAGGTCTATCTACGAGAACGGTCCAAATTCTCTCGAAATACACAGAAATATGTGAGTACGCTACGTCAGCGACGTCCTGGAAAACCAGGTCCAGGTTACGTCATTCAACGTCATGAGTAAAATTGCACTGTATTCCGTAAAATTGCACTGTATTCCGTAAATTGCCCTGTATACTAATGCGATTGCACTGTATTCCGTAAAATTGCACTGTATTCCGTAAAATTGCACTGTATTCCGTAAAATTGCACTGTATTCCGTGAATTGCCCTGTATACTAATGCGATTGCACTGTATTCCGTAAAATT